GCTTGTCAGTTTATCGACGGCCGATGCTCTACCCGCCGTTATGAGTGTGCCAGTGTCTTGCTGTAATCTGGCAGTTCTTTTACGTGGCCACAAGTTCTACCTTTGTCGTCTCTACCTTTGTCAGCATCACGACACCGTGACAATAGTAAAACTCCAAGAATACAGCATTAGTGATATTAGTGACATTAGTGACAAAACAACATTTCCATGAAACCACTATAACCATTTTGCTACAGCTGAATCATACAAAGTACTTGCATTATTGTGCAAACACACAAAACCCAACAAATACCTGCTTTTGGAAAGTAACGTCGGGTGCACACTGCAGCAAACTCGAAAAGTGTTGGACGAAAAGGATAGAAGTCATGGTAATAAAAAATGTCAGCCTATTAAAAATTGCCAATGTTGGCTTTACGGTATTACTCTATGTCACAAAAGACGTCGCTTAGCGTTACTTGATTAAAAGGGTTTCAAACAATTTGATGAACGCTGCAAAAAGCTCATAGTAAAAATATTTCAGAAGACATATTTCAATAAATGTGCTTGTTTGTAGCATGTAGCGCCTGACAACTTTTGATGCTAATAATGTAAGGCGTAGTTGAGAGCGTGTAATGTTAGTGAAATGTTAATGTAATTATAAATATTATTACTACTAAGCATTTTCGAATTTATATAACTCACCGAATGAGTGCTCGGTGTTTGGGTTTGTGGTTTTATCGGATGATGAATTTTGTTGCAACAAGCGCCTGTACCTATATCATTACTACAAGATCATGCAGCATGTAATACCGGTGTCACACGGGCACTTTTATACATTATCACTGTCGATCCGGATTAACCACGATCCAGATTAAGTGCTGCTACACGGTCACCTTTAATTATGATGAGGCGTGATCGGGATCAAGACTATCACGATACGCGAATCGCGATCTGCCTGAGAGATCGCGATTTTGCTCTCGTCTGCACCCCCCAACCGAGCTTGTTGAAAGCACAATAAACAAGAAAATCAAGAATAGTTCATTGAAAACACTTTCAAAAGGCTGGGTATTATAAAAAAAGCAAATCATATACTGTTTCAATTGAAACAATCTCTGAAGTAGTGCATATATTTAGGATTCGTGTCCACGACATGTAGTTACGGGAGAAGCAGACGACAAGCAGACGACAAGCAGTCGACCAGTGCTTCAGTGCTTACTTCAACTTTCGCCCCAACAAAGCTGTCGGAGCCCCTTGAAGCAAACTAATTACGAGTGTCGCAAGCCTTTAGACTACGTCGCAACGTACGCGCACTTCGTGGTCGAATGAAGAGATCTTTACAGCAAGTGACCGCTAGCAGGAGTGACTAGAACAGGCTTGATGTGCGAGAAGTGAATCACTGATGCGTACAACCAGATTGACGCTTCACTGTGACTACACGGCTACGAGCAGGGGCCATCAGAAATAAAGGCGAAGGTTAAGAATCTCACACAGCAATACAGGTAAGTACTAGAAAAATTTTTATTGAATGATGGATTTATGAAATTACCATTGTAGTTGTACGCAAGTTTTTGATGTTTGAGCGGTTCTTGAACGAATAGCATTGCTGATAAAGTGCTCTATGGATATACCGTATGCCGATTTTCGTCAGTCGCATGTTTTACGCCACGCAAATGCAACCTGGGGCGTTCATTCTGACCGAAGCTAGAACAAGATTAGCTTGGACCGTGTAGCAGTGGTCCTGATCAAGAAAACTAATTCGGATCGCGTTGATCACGATTACAAGGGCTGATGTGACAGCGGTATAACCTGCCTATGGAATAGTTTATTGGCGCGGAGGATACCATAATGAATAACTTAAGTAAATAATTTAGAGCTATCGCATTTGTGTAACTCATTAAACTCTACTGTGTCGCATGAGGTTGGGCGTGGCATTTACGAATTCGTACTCTCGTCTCCTTGGAATGGCGAGCACTTCGGCATGCAACATCTGCGCCTACGAGGAAACGCTTGAGCACATTCTATGTCATTGCCCAGCATATCAGACCAAACGACGTATTATGAAAGCCAAGCTCTGTCAGCTGGATTCACGGCCGCTTACAGAAGAGAAGATCCTGGGACCTTGGCCGACGGCTTCCCATACGCGCAAAGCCACGAAAGCCCTCTTGTACTTTTTAAGGAACACCAAACTTCACGACCGCTTGTGAAAGAACTGTGCGAGGCCGAGCTGTGTAGTTTCGAGCTGACTATTTATGCTTCCCTTTCTTACTTCTCTTCTTTTCTGTCTCTTTTCGTTCTATTATTCCCCTTTTCCCCCACCCCAAGTGTAGGGTAGCCAACCGAGCCAATCTTGGTTAACCTCCCTGCCTTTCCTCCCTATTTATCTCTCTCTCTCTCATGCCGCCGTCAGGAGAGCCTATTTTTTGAACTTGAGCAATCACCTTACCTCAAATTAAGTTGCTCATTTAGTACGTAATCAGGTACGCCTTTTGTAAACGTTGCCTAGAACTCTAAGGAGAGAATTATTCTCACATAAGCAAATCGGTTGTTTTTGAGAGATATAAGATACTTTTCGCTACGAGCTCGCAACAACAGTGACCCTAGAATGCAATTCATTCCGCCCACGCAGATAGCCGTGGCAGTTCCCACACGCTATGGACAAATAAAACAAAAGGCGACTTGGAATTCAATCGAAGATCTTCCTGCGGAGGTTCACTATCCATGCCAGAGCTTGATTCCGCTTCGGAAAACACGATAGAGTTCATCTATCTTCGAATGGTCGGCTATTATCAAATTTACTCTTGCGTTGCTGTAAGTCAGGCCCATAGCCAAGGGAGGTGGGCTAGCCCCTCTCCTCCACCCCACCGCCAAAAAGTTTAGAATTATGGGGGGGGGGGGGTTCACCAAGAATAGGAAATGAACAAAGGTGTTTTTTAAAGTCTTAAACAAGCAAGATCCTCCCCCCCCCCTAAAATAGTTTGTTGCTGCGGTATAGGCGAACTCTTCTCCAGTCTGAAGCCAAAGTGCTCGCACGTCAGAGGAAATAGACAGCACGTGAGGTTGTTGAAGCTTTCTTAATTTTACAAGCTAGTGGAAACTGTGTCGCTGAGCCGACTCTTGCGGTAAGCAGGGCAAAAAAAAAGGTACATGGATGCGCACGTCTGAGGTTTTTAGCTTTGTTCGCAATGAACACGTGGTTTTGCTCTCTGTATTTTTTTTTCAGTAAAAGCTTTCTTCGCAGTATGCGTTGTCCTGTAGTTTTCTTGGTCTTCTGCCACGTTTTTTTTTGCACTTCTTTCCACCGTGATTCACCAACTCACCCAACAGTCTGTCCTTCTCGGACTGCGAGTCACGGTTGCAGCGATGATAATACTCAGTGCAGAAGCGTAGAACCATAGCCGTCGTGAAACTTTTACATCACCGTCACTGCAGGTGGCTCTGCCATAATTCATCATTTTGTCTGCTACGTCTACAACAAAATGGGGGGAACCAATGCACTTGTAAATATTTTCTGACGATTATACAGTGGCGGCTTTCATGTTTATTTTATAGAGCGCCAGATTTTTCACTACATGCCAGCGGCTATTATACTTGGTCATTTTGTTACAGTTCTGTTCACGCTTGTAAGCCTTCAGTAGGCATCATGACTTCACGATACACAGTGTAACAGGATGCAACAGAAGTGCTGCTTCCGCTACTCTCGAACACCGTGATGAAGTTTAAGCTCACGTGTATCCTTTTTGTATGTTCCCTTATCATCCTATCTTCATAGCCCCTTATCCCCTTTACCCAGCGTAAGATAGCACATCTGCTTGACCTTCCTACCTTTCCATTTTCCTTCCCTTCCTCCACCTCCTCCCATTTCATCACACGGAAGATAGCGAAGAAAATGGGGGACACTGTTCTCCTTTATATTCTGGACTAAGTGAAGTACGACAAAAGTATTTGTGAAATTCAAAGAAGTCTCAAAAACGAATAATTAAAAACCAGAAATATTTGGTGACTAACAGGTCCCTTATGAGTGTGACCCATGCAGTGAAGTCTAAAAGAAAACAATTAGGTATTCTCTAATAAACCAATAACCCATGTCCAGTGAAGTTCTTTATTGGTTCCGAGTAAAAATCATAAAACATTTTATAGGAGCGAGTCACCGGCTACAGCCTCAGTTATGTTCGATGTTCAGCTATTACTTGCTCTCACTTTGTTTATAATCGAATATGGTTTCTCGTATGGTGGTATATCAGACAGTAGATGGAACACCACAGCAATATAATTCCCTCCTTCAAAGATACACAAAAGACTGAGACAATAGAACTGCAGAGATGGTAACCTAGTGGTTCAAAAAAAATTGAGCATGCCAACGGAAATGGCTAACGTACTGACTTTTGACATTCTTTTTTAGTCATATACTGAAGAGGTTTTGGAGCTTCCTTTCGCTAACATGCGAGTAAAAAGAGCCACCATTCACCAAGCAAAAACATTAGGATTTTAGGCGCTTAAGCCATGTTCTAGTTTTTGAGGCATGGAACATATCAAAAAAGTTATTTCGTGGCAAGATATTACATGAGCGAGAAACATAAGTAAACAAAGAGTCCTCAAAAAAGATTGAAAATAAAGGTAAGACTTTTGTTATGAAAATTTCAAGAACAGGCGTTTCTCCCAAGAGGCAGTAATATGCACTAACGTGTGCCTTGCGCCTAAACTTTTGCCGTTCGCTGTATTGACCTGTACGTACACATTGATTCATTGTAGCACCAGGATGGTCTGTACTTCAAGAAAACGGCAGCATAATGCATTGTTTGCGCTGCACTGGAATGCAACTAAAAATTTAAAACTGACTAAAACTACGTCTGCATGAGTCAAAACTTTAATGTTCTGCCGCGTAAAGCTTAATGGGTTTCACACATGCGACAACCTACGAAGCAGCGAACATTTAAAGGTAATGTATAAAATACAATCACTTGAAATGCACTTGTGTACAAAGGCCATTCAAAATAAGCATTCGCTGTTCTTCATAAACTCACTTGATGTCTAGGTTCCACGGAAGGCTCGTGACGACACCTTTTTCCATGTACACACGCAACAGTCTGTCTACGTTGCTTCCTATACTGTGATTGTAGAAGAAGAAACGATCTACGCCAACGATTCTGTTGAACTCTACAAACTCTGCCAGCCACGACACTCTGTCATACTTGTAGTGCAGGGGCTTCACGCAGACCGCAAAACGCCCAGTCGCTTCACCAGGTCTTGTCTCTAGGGGCCATATTGGTATTGAAGGACTCCACTGCAGTTCGTAAGTCTCCTTGAGTCGCACGCGAACCGGTGGCGGATTGTCTGAGTCGTCGGAATAAGGACACAAGAAGAAGGCCGCACCATACTTGAGCTTCCAGTTCTCATTAATGGTCTTCTTCGTGGCGGCGACCACACTCGCTTCCCCACTGGCATACTCTAGCCTGCAGGAAACTTGAGCACCGTTTACGCTGGCGTATGCGCCTATAACCCGAACCACGGGCACGGCGAGGCGGTTGTCTAAGTACGCAGAGTACAAGAACAGCTTTAGTTTTGTTCTAAGGTAAGTGTCGGTGGACACCCAGTCACCAGAACTCATCGGTTGCTCCTTGAATGTTTCGCGCAGCTGTGGCTTCGATGCTGGCGATGGCAAGATAACTTCGTGAAGCGATTTCCCACGGGGAGAGGTGTTTAATGTGACGCGTACCTGCGCGGCAGCGATTGTGGAATCCGTCTTTGTAGCTGGCGTAAATATAGCGTCAGCTTCTTCCCAGTTTTGATCGGTAATACCGGAAAATCGATAAAAAGCATGCGTCCAGAAAACAACTGTAAGCAATGCGACTAGGAGTGACAGAGCCTTGATTGCTCGAAAGACAGAGCCGGTGCCTCTGCGCCTCTCGACTCGCCACCGCCGTGGCGTCCATCGGGTCATCTTGGAGAACTTGTACGGACATGAGCTCCTTTGGTGCGAACACCGGTCACCTCCTCCTTTCTTTCACGGCAGCAGAAATCATCTGTCTTGAAAATGATTCGCACCTGAAGGAGAAACAAGAAATCGCAGTTAGCTATCTATCTTTTCACATCAATTAGATACTTGTGCAGAACGCATTAGATTAAGCGCTTTGAAACGCTCATTCACGAGGACGCTTATGGCTTGACTTGTTCGGCATTGCGGACCGTCAAGCTTGCTACCTGAACGCTCTTCATGTACAACAGCAATTTTTGGAAGCATAACTTGCTGCGAAGCGGAAATCACGCATAATGCATGCCACACTTCAAACAGCCGAAAATCAAGTGAACTCCATTGCGTTGTTCTGTTTCATTGGTTTCACTCACAACAAGCATCTAAGAATTTGCGGGTACAATGGCGCATTCAAGGGTGGAACGTTTTAATAGTGTAATATTTCAATTTCATTAACACTTTTGTATTAGTGTATGGTTCTGGCTATTACTATAGAAACAATCAGCCAGCGCAGAACCGACCAGCACTATCAATAGTTAGGAGACAGTTAAGGCCACTTGGCAGAAATCTCAGTGAGGCAGCAACAGCGGTGCAAAAATGCCACGAAGAAAAATAGAGTCCTCCATCAATATGCACTAAACACTACCAAAAACAATTGATATTCCGTACAAGCTTATGCTGGAAACTCAAGCATACAGACCACATTGCATGGAGAAGCGTGGTACGGTGTCCACAACCTATTATCATTACTGCAGCTGCTGTGCGAAGAGCCCCTGTTACAGACTACAGAAAAACCTATATATTATGAATAAAGCTCGAATACTCTTTTTATTCAAAAAACTTCTCCTCGTTCATAGAAGGCCCGCAAAACTGCGAAGTTTTAATTATGAACTACCGAACTTATCTCTATACCTAATAAAAACTAACTTCGGGTTTGTAGTGTGTTCATGAACGGAGCTGAACAATTTTTTGCTGAGCAGGTATCAGCGGCGATCATATATTCAAGTGGACTCAGTAGCATTTCCAAGGCGAATGCTCTAGGTGCCTCATCAAACGCGAAAATTGACCGGTGTCTCACGTCGGCATCACACGTCGGTGTCCAAACGAGTGATGCAAAAAATCGTCAGGTGATAGCGTTAACACGTGCCGTCATGATGACCTCATAAATTTCAAAAGGCCGTGACATTGTTATGACTGTTTTGAAATGAGAGCGCACTACTTCGACGCGGACAGAACCACAGGGACAACCAGTTTGACATTATAACGTTATAATTGCGTAAGAGATTGACATCCTGGTTAGCATCTCAGCATGATCATGGAGTCAGTGCAAAATAATAAGAGGTGCCCCCGATCCCAGAAGGAATGCGCCACAACATAGAGTGCAGAAAGGTGTCGGAGGGTGCCGGCGCAGGAACAGGGTATCAACTGAGTGCGAGAATGTAATGGCTTTCGACTTCCAGTAGTCCTACGCGTGTTTCAGAAACGCTTAGAGTATTCAACTGCGGTAAGGTAAGGGTATGCATTGCATTAAAGGGAGACAGTTACTTATGAATTCTGCTAAGGTAACTCACCGACGAAAGTGGTCTTATTCTATTTCTTGTACCTCTTCATCCACTTGGTCAATTGTATTGGTCCATCCCAACCTCTCCCGAATGCTTTTTGCCCCTCATGTGATTTTACAGCACTGTAGCCGTAAATGTCCAACGCTTAGCTTAGTGACGTAGTCAAGAGACAACTTGACTTTCTGCCGTTATGATACGAGATAATGACTTAAACTCAAACGACATGTGGCGTCATAGTACGGCTTCATCGCCCGAATAGTTTTGCATCACCGATGATAAGATCTCAAGCTTCAGAAGTGTCACGGACGGCTATTTTCGGCGACACCGCGTCACGGCAATTAACGGGCGCCGTACTCCCCGACTGACCGTGAGAAACGGCGGCACAAGAAAGGGAACCGATAAGTGCAAAATGGGGGTGCTCTCCTTAGAACGTCGCCGCCGACAGTTAATCCTTTTGTAACCGTGGCGACGTCTGCAAGGTCGTAGAAGGCCGCGGTATACCCCGTACAAGGATTAGACTACAAGACGCCCGGCTGAGAGCTAAGTGGTTGACCGTTCCCACGGAGAAAAGCGTGGGAAACGCTCTGGTGGCCAAGCCGTATGACAGCAACCCGACAGGTTGTCACTCTCGCTAGTTGCGGGCCCTCTCCCGATTAAAAAGGGGTGGGGTCAAAATATTTTGGGGGCGGAGTTTCCCCTCAATTAAACGCGCATGATTGGACCCAGGTAGAGGTCTCTTGTCCCCAAGGAAGAGAGCGAGGAGACACGAGGGGGATTTAAGCGCAGGAGTTTGCCCTGCTAGGCAGACTAGTCGCTGACCAAGATGGTGTAGAAACAGATCAACAAGCATCTCTTCTAGAAGTTTTTAGTGTGGCTCTGTATCGGCTGGCCACCTAAACTTAGCCGTTCGTCTAGCTGTGACGCGATATTAACGTCTGCAACGTAGACATCGGGACTTCGCTTCGAGTTAGCTCAACCTGCTCGAAGTCACCTGCAAGCACTAGCCTCCCGGAGCCACCAGCGTTGCAACACCGCCGACATCGCAGTCGTGCCAGAACTCTCTTCGACTTCTCGCATCCGATCGTCGGGGACACAACGCTGCCGGTCATGACACGTATGCCTTCACCTGTTTATATCCTCGAACTTTCTACTCCGTAGTTCTATTGTTGTTAGTTTGTGTAGTTTGTGATAGTTCTCTCTCGTAAGCTGATGTATTGTTTCTGTTATATATTTCTTTAGTTGTATCAAGTGTCGATGTATTTTGTTAGTTGTATTGAAGTGTTGTATTAGATCCCGTGTGCTGCAATATCACTAGAGTAAAGTTTGTTTTGTTTTCCCACGTCTCTGATCTCTTCACTGTCTCTGCTTGCGTACGGAACGAACCAACCTGCTGTCATTCCCGTCGCCGACTTCGCGCTGGCGACGCTAGAGTGGCAGCTTGTAACAAGAAGGTACCTAGGACATTCACTTTAATCACTCTTCAGTGAACACAAGGCAAATACCACAGTACCGAACCGGGTTAAGAAGCACATGTACCTGTGTACCGTGACTCGAGAAATGGGACCATTGCAGGCTCTTGGGTAGATTTCAGTTGGCTATGAATACAAGAAATTATTTTTGACTACGTATTATTTCGCATTCATATTGGGCTCCGCACTCTTCAAGAAGCTTTTCGATTTGAATAAGGTAGACGTTTGGTTGATATGTGGGGTTTAACGTCCCAAAACCATCATATGGCTCCGGAAAATTTCGACCACCTGGGGTTCTTTAACGTGCACCCAAATCTGAGCACACGGGCCTACAATATTTCCGCCTCCTTCGGAAATCCAGCCGCCGCAGCCGGGATTTGAACCCGCAACCTGCGCGTCAGCAACCGAGTACATTAGCCACTAGACCACCGTGGCGGGGCAAGGTAGACGTTTTGTAATCAATCAACGTGCACTGCAAATATCTCACAAACAGCAGCGCTTTTGCCTATGAGATAATCATCTTGAACTAAACCCTGTCAAGTAAAGAAATGAACGCTAGAAAGGAAAGTTGGTGTCTGCCTGAAAAAGACAAGTGCTTTTGTCAAAACCTTATCTACAGCAGGTTTGCTGACTTCAAGTAAAGTAGGAGTGCTTTAGTCGCTTTCTGCGCTACTGAGGCAGATGCCCAAGGTCAACAAACCTGAGCGACCGCCTGTAGACTGTGTGTTCTCCCCCGAGTGTGCTCGTGATTGTGTATACCTTCTTATCTCTCTAATACCTATTTCTCCCCTTCATCCCTTCCCCAGTGCATGGTAGCAAACCGGATGTGCGTCTGGTTAACCTCCCTGCCTTTCCTTGCATCTTTATCTCTCTGTCTTATCTACAGCAGCATTCCGGTTAGATCTTTTTAAGCATACAGATATTTCCTCTTGCCATTGAATTTTTATCTTGCTACAATTTCATAAAACTTGTTTTATTTTGTCCTTTCTGTACAGTGCTCAAGTGACTTTCGCTGGACGCCATCTTATTTTCACGCCCTTTCAAACAATATGACAGGCCAATAAAAGCGAAACGCAAAAAACCCCCACAGCAAGGCAGCAGGAAGCTGTAGGCTGATTTCTGGAAAAGCTTGGTCATTGTTGTTACACTTTCACTTTCTGGCCGCCTGTTGGTGCAGCATGACATGCGTATTCAACGCTAAATATTTTTGCATTGCACTAAATTGTCCTAAAAATAACAAGGCGCTTACGCACAGTTTTCGAGTCGTTCTAGAAACACATGGTGAGCAGTACTCACCGCAGCTTAAAATGTAATTTAGCAGGGCGGGTGCTTAAACAATATTAGATGTACGAAAGGAGATACATACTCGACAGCATGAAATAAATCATGCAGACATGAAGGCGGCTGCCACGTGTAAAGGGACACTCGTATGCCTTTATATCACAACGTATCCTGTAGGATCCGTCTACAGAGCCCTGTCTCTGAAGCTTAATGGGCGTGCGGAAAACGCATTGTGCATTGTGCATGAGGAGTGACAGCAGGATGGCTAATGCTTCTAGAGCCACCGCTGTCACTCAGACTAATGAAACCGTGCGTGGCCTTTGCGAACCCACCCAGACGTTTCCATTTTTTATGACGCAGATTCCACGGACATCGTTGAACGTAGCTAGTCGCCCTGCGCTTAGCTGCAATGGACGGATGCCAAGCCTGAGAGGCGAAGAGCGCAGTAACCTTCCTTGCTTTTCACCTTTTACGACAGGTCACGCTAAGGAAAGCCCGTTGCGCCAAACTCCTAAGGCTTAACGACAGTACTTCGACAGTATTTGCCAGATGAGTAAGCGTGCGACGCTCCAACAAAACGAAGTGACAGATATTACACTCGTCAAAATAGATCCAAACATCATGGTGTTTTCAAGTTGACCGCGTGAGTGTTCCGTAAATCATTCGACTTGCTCTGGCATTCACTCTTTCGAAGCGTGACACTGCCACTTACGAAAAAGCCATGGGTTAGCTAGCTGAGAAATCCAACTTCAACACCTATGG